AATTTTGCAACAGACGTGAAGATGTTTGTTGATACTTTATTAGTGTGTTTCTTGTACCTTAAATGCATAGTGGGTAATATATCCACATATATGCTAGGGAAGTATTCTTGCTCAGAAATACCATGTCCTAGCTAGGGCTTTTGCTTTGTAGATATTGCACAACAGTTCTTGTTGTACTTTGTACTTTGCATGTGAGTTGTCTTAAGGTTTCCACTCATGAGGAAAAAAAGAGAGAAAAGGAGGAGGGCAGGGAAAAGGAGTAAAAGGTGGGAAAAAATCATACTAAGTTTTATACAGATCATAAAGAGGAACTAAACCAATTATCTGTATTATCAAACACTCTGTACTTGATAACAGAGTTAAAAGTACAGGAGGGCACAAATTGACACTGGAATGCAGCTTGGAGGAGTGACTAAATTTATCTGGTATACAGCCATGACAATCAATGATATGACTTGCTTGTGAATTTTAAAAGAATAAAAACTCTGCAGCAATATGCCAACTACATTGCAGTATAACTGTGGTGGCAGAAAACCTGCACATCTGATTTGCACAGATGTCAGCTGCCAGCACAAGCAAGCATACAGAGTCAAGAAAGAGGGATTAAGAAGCAGAGGGATAGATTGGGTCACCAAGGTGCATAATCACATGATTCCTCATTATTTGGAACATATCTGTTGTGTAAATCTTACTTATACATGTTGATATCTGCCACTGTGATGGATTTACATCCTCTTCCCCTTATATAATTTACTTATGGAATGGAATAGGAATGGAATCTCCATTGAACAAAGTACTATATGCTATGTATGGGATGATTGCTTTCTGATTTCCCCCTTGCTCCTGTATTTATACTGCATATGTTTCAGTTTAATTGCAATGGCACTGAGTCATTGTGGCTACAGTGACACTACAGTTGGTTTGGGCTGAAAGCTTCTTGAATGGTTGTCAGTGTCAAATTATTTGAAGTGAGCTTTGAGACTGGTATATCGTATATCAGCTGCTGGAGCTTAGAAGTTCCCTACTGATGTTCTCCATAAGAGCTGACTATAAGGATGCATATCAATATATGTACATATATTTACACCTACATATGTGTTTCTGTATTGTACATTAAAAGTATGCACAGCAGGAAGATTTCTATGTGCTAAGTAAATTTAACAATGACTTTTGTTTTTAATAATGTCAAAAGTGCTGATAATACTTGCTCTTGTGGGCATAGAATTTTACTTCTGTAAAGGAAAGTCTACCTCATAATTACTAATTCCATCTTTATTTCTGTTATTACCCTGAACTCAGTCAAGCTTTGAATATTAGTTCTCAGCATTTATTTTCTCCTTGCTTTGTTGTTGTTGGGTCCCTAAACACATCTCCTTGGGCCCTGAGTGCTTCTAGGAGTTTGCCTGTACTCCAAGCCAATTTTAATACAGCTCATCTAATTGTCTTGAGAGGAAAAGGGTAGAAGAAGCCTTAGTGGAAGTTACCCACAAAATTAAGCCTTGAGGTTGGCTTCTGTCATATTTGCTCGAGAGCTCTTTTACATTCCTGCATGTGGCCCTGCCTGAGTGACATTGCAGCTGCATCGCAGCCATGTCTGGCCCTTAAACCTGACTCGGAAGCACATAGATATTCTCAAAATGTTTTTTTTTTTTTTCTCAGTTGTAAGCAGTGACTAATGTTACCACATATTGTTTTTAAGAGAAAGAATGTGAGATTCTGGAAAAACTGACAATAAATGTAGACAGGACTGCAAAATGTTTAAAGCTACATAACCTAGAAAAAATAGGAAGAAACTTTTGTTAGTTCTGATTTTCAGCATGCCATACAAGTTCATACTTCATGAGTTCTTAAACTATATTTCTAAGTCTGGTGTCTGAGCTTCATTTAGAAGTGTTCAAGCAATGTGAATAACTTCTTTACATGTGTTTTCTTAACCACAGTGTCCCTCCTTTTCCCTCATGTAGCAAAGTCTCATTCTGGTTCTCAGGGAGACAGCTTGTGACACTTTGTATTTACACACATGCTCTGTAAACACACACATTTTTCACTAAGCAAATCAAAGCAGCTGATTTTTGCTCTAGTAAAGCAAACCCAGTGTTTTAATTTTAAACTCAGATGTGGAGTTTAAAATAAATATGCAAGAGTATTTTTTTTCTTATTGCAAACTCAAAAAAAAAAAAAAAACTTTCTCTACAAACTTTCTATATTATTGTATCAAATTTCTCATGAGAAGTTGTTCCCTAGAATATTTCAAAGGTAGTATTTCTCTTATGTGAGATAAAGGGATTTGTCTCTCCAGTGATAGAACTACTTTTGGAGGGCATTTGGGGATGTCTCCACTTCAACCACATGCTCAGAGCATGGTCAGCACTGAATTCAGACCAGATTGTGCAGAGCTTTTATGTGTCCAGTCAGGTGCTGGAAACTTGAAAGAAAGGAAGTTACTCACCTTCCACAACCTCTTGTGGTAACCTGCTGCACTGCTTCATTATCTTCACTAGCTGTTTGGAGCTGCCACTGTTTCAAAATACAACTATTGTCTTTCTCCCATGCAATAAAGAGCCTGACTTTACCTCTTCCTCTACACTGCATACAAAAAGATCTAGTCTTGGAGATATTGGAAGGCTGCTATTAAGTTTTATCTACCTGCTTCCTTTCCACACCTGGCTGTCTCAGTTCTCTCATCCACATGGGATTTCTGCTGCAGCACCTGTCTGTCCTGAATCTTTACTGTTGATAAACTTGAGAAACATATTTCTTAAACAGGGTGCTCAAAACTGGAATCAGAATTCCAGATGCACATGTCAATTAAAGGGAACGATCATTTCCCTTGTTCTACCTCTGCTCTGAGCTGTTTGTTTTTTTTTCAGCCTAGGTTGCTGTTAGTCTTCACTGCAAACTCGTTTTTATTCCACTGCCCACCAGGAGCCCCAGATCCTCTTTAGAGGAGCTGAGTGACCTGTCTGTCCCAGCCTGTGCAACAGCAAAGGTTGGTCTGGCCAAAGTGCAGGGTTTTGCACTGCGTTGAGCTTTGTGTGCTTCCAATTGGTCCATTTCTCTAGTTTGCCAAGAGGCAGCCCTGCCCTCTAATTGAATATACTTGTAAGATAATCACTGCAGCTATTTTTTACTGGTTTATGCCTTGTTTGCTTGTTTGTTTAAAGAAAAATATTGCATCCAATGTAAATTTCAGAGGAATTTTCAAAATGACTGAGGTGTAAGGTTTTATTGGTATATAAAACTTCATTTACAAAGAGTGTAATTATTTTCTAATTAGCTTATTAATGTTCAGGGCTTTCATTTAATAACTGTTTTCAGGGAGAACTGATAGCTCTATATGGTGTCCCTTAGTGCTGCAGCGCGTCTAAACTGGAACAAGAGGACCGGACTCCATCTCTGCTCTGACTTGGAGAAAAGAGTGCCACCTGCTGAGCGGATGAGCCAGTTTTGCAAACAAGTATGTAAAGCAGTCTTTAATCCAAATTCTGACTCAGTGCAATGTAGTTTTTTAATGATATGAGTCGATGTTGTTACAGCACAAGATGCGTCTGTACAAGACAAAGAAGCCATCTAATCTCCTGATTTAATGTAGTAATAAAATAATGTCATACCAGGAAATATGTATGCATTAAATTTTGTTGCTGTAAAATTGATAGAAGTGCAGCCTGCACACAGTCTTGGCATATGCAGATAAAAGAGATAAGGAGAAAAAAGGCACATAGCAAAAGCTGCTAGTGCAAGGAAGAAACAGTGGCAGGTTTTGGAGATGTGAAGACTACACAGTGCAGAGGAAAATAATGAAGACTGTGTAATAGTAGAACTGTTCTGTTTTACAGAACACTTCATAAAACTGTTTATTGCTCACAAAATACTCTTTGTTCCACACTGTCTTTGAAATATGATTCTTCTACTTCAGACATATAAGCTGGCTGATGTCCTTACAGGCCTGTCTAGTCTTAACCTTCTCGGAATGTTTAAGAAGAAGCACAATCCCTTCCTGTAGATTTCGCACCTACTGTGTCTTTCAGCTTTGGTCTGACTGTTACTTTGTTGCCTTTGGAGTAAAGAATAGATTGCTATCACCTTATATATAATTCAGGAGACAAAGGACAATAATGTCAAGATGCCTCCTAGACAAGGATAGAAAGCATACTCCCTACTCTGTGCAACCTTAGCATCTGTAGCCAGATGGTGACGTTTCTGCCATTGTCTGCTGCTTTTATGTGATTATGTGTTGTGAAACATGAGACACTGCTCATCATTTCACTTCCCAAACTCCAAGCAGGTGAAGTATGATACGCATTTGTTCTGGCTGGAAGGAAGGGCTACACTTCTCTATTACAACACTATGATTTACAGTCACAGCAGACTTTCCCCCTCCACACGCATGCAGTAGAAGCTGACATAAGCGGTTTTAATGTTATCAATATATGATGTGCTTCATGGAGAACACTGATTGCCCAATATTTCGTAACAGAGGAGGAAGAGGTAACTCCAGATTATGGAATTTGTCTTTTTAATCTGCATTAGGGCAAATTAAACTAGTTGGTTATATGCCTTTGACTTCATTATGTGTTCATGTATTTAAGTTTGCTTTATGTATTAGACAATTTGTGAGCAGTTTTGAACATTCTTTCAATCAATTCTATATTGATTCATTGAGTTATTAATCTACAGCTCAAATTTGTTGATGGTTTTTGAAGAGTAAATGTTTTAACAGGAGCAGATTTTTCCTTGAATGTTTTATTAAGCCAGGGTTACATCAAATGACATCTTCAGTTGTGAAAGAAAGAAAAATGCTTTACCAAAAGTACCTCTGGCTGCTGTTTTGCTTCTCACTTCCACGTCCCACTGTTGTTCTCTATTCTGTGGCAGGAAAAGATTGGGTGTGGTAATTAAACTACTGACCTGGGACTCATCGGACTAACCCAGCTATGCATCAGATACGCTTCGTAGTCATGGGTAAGTTGCTTCTCTGGGCACCTTTTTCCATGCATCTTGAGCTTCCCTGGTGAAAAGTTCTGCACAGCAGCCAGAAACTATTGTGAAAGAAATGCCAGCTAGTGTCCTCTACAAAAACTGTTCGTGTATTTCACTCTATAAAGTAACGGGTGGTAGGAGTGAGATTTCCCTGCTGCTCTGAAAAAACACTATGCCAGCCTGCAGGTGCTGAATGGTCCCAGCCTGGAAGAAGGTAAACACGGCTACGTGCACACTGGGAGGGAAAGGTTTGCCATTTTCATGCTGCTTGGCACATTTCACTGAATAAGAGTCTAATCTTCAAATGCTGACCTAAATGTTATTTTATATTCTGCAAGTTTTCCTGATTGCTAATGAACTCAAGTATCCGTGGCAGTCTACAGGGGGAGCAATGACGAAGCAGCTGCTTTATTTCCTGCCTTAAGAGGAGCAGTGTGTCTGCATTTGCCAGCTCGCTGTTTATTTTCAGACCAACGCATCAGAGGAAGCCATATTCCAGCAGACGAGCTGAACATTTTTAGAAACCTCAGCAGAATTGCAGTAAATGTTCGACTTGGAAATAATTTTGATTTTTTATTTTTAGTAAAACTAAATTTCAGGAATGTGCTAAAACAGCGAACAGCATAGATGTGACCTAAGGATTTGCATTAGTTACAAGTCCTTTCTCCCTTTCTTGTTTCTCCCCTTTTACAGCTCCTTCTGAAGAAAAATGACCAAAAAAGGGGAAATGGAAGAACACATTATTTCTGCTACGAGTGGTTTCTGAAAAAAAACAAAGCCCTTTTAGGGATCTTTGCACGCTTGCTTGTACTTTCCACCGGGGCAGGCTGGCGCTGAACTCAGGGCACGGAGCCTGCACGCTCTGCCAGGTGTGAGCACGGCAGCGCCGTGCACGCCGAGCTTCCGAATCAGCGCTGCGTGCTCGCTCCTCGCACTCGGGGATTCCCCTCCTTCCCGGCTCGGAGGAGGGGCAGGGCCCGGCCGCTGCCAGGACCGAGCGAAATGCCGGCGGGAGCCGCGCTGCGGCTGCGAGGGAGGAGGAGGGCGGGAGGAGGAGGAGGAGTTGAGGAGCCCGGGCCCGGGAGCCTCCCCGCTTACCGCACTAGGAAGTGACGCTTTCCCTGAGTCCCGGAGAGAAAGAAACAAAGTTTTTTGGTGGTTTTTTTTTTTTTTTCCGCTTTTTCTCTTTCTCGGTGGTCTTTCCTTCCGTGTTTACCCTTTGCAATCTGCAGCCTCGGAGGCGCCCGCCGTACCTCGCAGCGCAGGTGAGGAAGCACGTTTTGTTCCCTGTCCTGCTTTCCGCGGGTTTATTTTCTTCGCACGAGTTGCTTCCGTTCTCCTGCCATTTTGGAGAGGGGGTGCTTCTCCCGGGGCTTTAATCTTGGGGTGCCGAGCTCTGGCTGCAGGCTGAGCTGCACGAGTACCTGTGGCGCCGCCGGGGCCGCGCAGCTCCGCGGGGCCGAGGCCGGGACGGCCCAGCCGGCTCTGCCGGGCCGCCCGCTGCGGGGCTCCGCGCTCGGGCGCTGAGCCGCTCGTCTTTCCCTTGCGGGCTCTCGGGGGGCCGCTCCGCCGCCCGGCTGCAGCGGCGTGCAGAGGATGCGTCTGCGGCTGGGTGAGCCCGTCCGCGCGCGTGGGGTTGCTCGGGCGGGCGGCTTCGGGCTTCCCTTTCTGGCTCCGTGTCGGAGCTGGGGCGGCTCCGGGGGCTGCGGGTACGGCGCCGCGACTCGGGGCGCTCGGTAAGGCGCGGTGGCTCGCCGCGTGCGCGGATTGTGTTTCTCTGCCGGGATTTATGCGACGGAGGGGGTGGGGAGGAATTTATTAGATAATTTCTGAAAATCCCGTGCCCCTAAACGTACAGCTTTTTCTCTGGCAGCAACTGAAAAGGACTGATTCTTTGCAGTTTACCAGTCAGAGCTGACAATACACCCACGCACGTATGTGAGTGTCTTATATAATACTTACGGATTTTTTGCCAGGCATAAGCGAGGTTTATTTTTGGTTTCTAAAGTCTTGTGTGATTGCAGCCTTCAGAATTCAAGAAATATTCTCTCTGCTTGACAGAGATTCAACTTGGCAGCCTCTTTAAAACAAATAAATCATCATGGCTGTTACCAGAAAGCTGTTTTCATCCTGAGTTTGAGTGCGGTGGAAGGGCTGTCTGGAGCGAGCACAGGCAGTCAAGGGAGGGAAAGAGCGAAACGAAATGTCCTAATGCAGAGATTGGCATTAGGTTGTTTGGAGGGCGAGACTGCAGTTCCAGGCAGCAACAGCAGCAGCTTTATGACTGTGTGTAATTACAGAGTGATTGCATAGGACAGAATTGTTGGAACGAATACGTATGCATAGGCCATTGTGCCAGATTTCTGTACTGAACAAAACGTAGATTTGCATTGCAAATGCTAAAATGAGAATTTATATTGTATTGAACTGCCATGTTCCTCTTAGACTTCGCTGAAGAATTAGAAGGGGGAAAAAGGAGAAGTGGAGTGAGGCCGATCGTGGAAGTCACAGCTCTGAAACACTCAGCAGAATTGCCACCTGTAGTGCCTGCAGTCTCAGGGGACACAGCAAGCTGGTTGAATCTGTGGGTTCGCTTTTCTGAAGTGATTATGCAGAAAGTGAAAATCAGTCAGGTTTGCCAGTAGTCCTGCAGGTTTTGTGTAATTCCTGATGTCATCTTTTTTCTTGTTTGCTGGTGTGGGGGGGGGGGGGAAAAACAAAACCTCTGTGCTGAGTTCAGCTGTCTTGTGTGGAAATGGAGAGAAGAGCATTGAGGAGAGTTTCTGTGTCAGACCACAAAAAATCACGAGGTTGAAAGCAAAGCTAGACTGAACATAAGTTCTGAACATGCTGTTTCAACTTAAGCGGTTTTTAAAGAAGAGTTGCATATTGCTTAGTGATCCTGCTAGCACTGAAAGCTGATAGGTAGGACAAGATGTTGGGATTGTACCACAAACTCTGCAGAAGCAAGGTTTTGACCGAGGCTTTGAAAGATCGTCAAAATGATGGGCAAAGTCATTGTGGATACAAATAAGAGTACCTAAGATTGGTTTTTCAGAGGTAATGCTTACCTGTAATTTCCATCAGTTTAATTTTGTTTTGGAATTGTGTAACATCTGATCCAAAAGATTTCAGATCTGGTATTCAGAAATTTGCCTCTCCAGGATTAGATTTCTGAAGATTTTCTGAAAATGTTGTCTCTAACAGTCATTGCTGAGGAGGTAATGAATATTGGGAAGGCTTGTTTTGAGCACTACGATAGAAAGTGCTATAAAAAAAGGTAAAGTTGCTTTAAAATTCCTTGGTGTTCCATTAGAACATGCTATTTCAGTTAAACACACAGATTGTCTTACTGTTGTTATTTTCCTCAGACTGCCAACTAAATGCTTTGTGTAAAATATATTTAAGTTTGCTAATGAAGAATATAATGATGTGCTGAAGCTGTTTGTTTTGCTTTGCTGGTTTTTTTCTTCTCTCTAGCATGTGGCTAATTAACCACAACACTGGACTGATCACTTGACAAATTTAGTTTCATAGTGATTTTTCTGTAACTTTAACGGGATGTTTTATTTTAATACACAGCAAGCAAATAACAAATATTTTTTAACCTTTCCATTACTATGGCGTTCTGTTTGTAGATTTTTCTTTGTATTGTTCTTCATGTCCTGACTGGCTTTATATATATGTAATCCCCGGTGTTCTAATATCAATGGCTTCTGGGGAAAACCCAAAATTGTGCATAAGTATTCCTTAAATTATTTGTGGTAGTGGTGCAATTCAGTCATTCCTTATGTTAGCTTTTGCTTTCCACAGTTAAGTGGTTTGAGAAAATATTTCCGGCCAGGATTCATTGGCCTTGTATACAAATGAGGAGATAACTTTTACATCTGTGAGTTGTTCTGTGGTACTCTGGGGAATTAGTCATAGACATATGTTTATTGCCTATTTGCAAAAAGAAGCTTAGCCATGCTAGCCTTTACCCCACCAAGGTGCATGAGAATAGTGGAGATGTGAAATGATGAGGTCTGCAGCACAGTAAGAGCCTTCCAAGAGCCTACATGCTCATTCCAGAGGTGAATTTATGCTTCTGCATTTTCATTCTTGTTGTCACCCATATGTGGTAGCAGCAGAACTGCAGATACTTTCGAGCCTATAATGTTATTCTGTCAAGCTACCAGGCAGTCCTTCAAGGCGCCTCAGCAGGGGTCCTCTACCACTCATTGGAAGCAGCCGTCTTGGGGGTGGGAGTAGCGGGTGTGGTGAAAGGGAAGGGGCTCAGAATGCAGGGAGGCAAATGGCTACTGTGAATCAGAATGGCGATCTGTCTAGCCTGTGCTCCTGTCTCCAAAGGTAAGAGGGGGTACTATGTATTTCAGCAATTCTTGGGGAATTTCTTCTCAGGAAACTTGTCTGGTATTCTTTTAAGCTTAGATAAATATTTAGCAGCTGCTTTAGTAACCTACTGATCAAATCATGGATTTAGGGCATTGAGAGGACTCATATTAGGGATAAGACATTACTGTTTTTTGTTGAGGGAAGAAAAAAATAAGGCATTGTAACCAATACTAAGACGTCACACATTAAATTACAGCTTATGCTAAAACCAAGTGCTGTAAGTGTGCATATTGTTTCCAGTGCAGTTAGTTGTTTGCCAAGTGACATAAAAGGAGAGAGAAACTACTCAGTGTTCATCATACAAAATGTTGGTGGGGGCAGAAGGCAAGCATTCAAGTTTTGTAAGACATGTCCAGAAAGCTGGCAAATTCTGGCACGGGCAAGCCGAGGCTAATGAGTCAGCTTCCAAATGGAAGACTTGTCATTGAGCAATTTGTAAATGAGAAGGACGTGCTGCTAATTCAAGGAAATATCATCCTTAGCACCTCCCCTAATAATTGGAATAGAGTGGCACAGAGCTATCTGTCAGAGGGGAGTTGTTCGTGCTTGAATCATGTGTTCTCTCTGGTGCGATTTCAGCGTTCAGACCAACAAACCCATGTTGTGTGATGTGTAGACCCATGAAAGAGGTGATTGCTCAAGCAATAATTTAAGTCTTTGCATTGCATGCCAGCAGCTTGCATGCTGTGTGAAAGATCCTTGGCAGCTACAGCAGCTCCCAGTGCACAAATGACATGTGTTTCCAGCGCGAGGCCGCTCAATAGGTGCTCTGCAACATTTTGCATAACTTCTGTTTCAAATGATCTCCAACTAGCCCTGCTGATCAGCTCAGGCAGCTGAAAAATACACAAACCATTACGAGAAAAAGCTATGTACTTCTCACTGAAAAAAAATGCGAGTGCATGCTTTTGGCCTGGAGCCAACATGCAAGTATAAATGAGCAAATGGGGATGCAGGAATAAATGTTGCAATTTAATTATTTGCTTTTCTGAATTGATGCTTTTTATCAAGTTTGGTGCAACTTACAACCACTTCATTTCCAGGCCCAAATTAATATGATCCACTATATTATGATATGGAACATGTACAGATAGATATTCCTTGAAATTTACATCTTTAAAAAATGGTTGTTCATTTTAAGCACAAATTACATGAATGCATCTTGTTGCATTGATAGCTGCTATTAATCAAGAAGTTAAAAACTGGGAAAAAGCAAAATTTGAAGGGGGTAGGAAAGTGGTTATTTTTATTTATTTATTTAACAGCATCTTGAAAGGTCTGCAGCAAAACATGGAATAACACTTTTCCTTGTAGTCTTTAGCATTTGAGAAACTGTAATTTTCTATACTGTTTGATTTAAGTATTGCTGAAGATTGAAACAAGTGAAATGCCATTAATGAAGCAGTGAACTGAGAAACAGTTCTGATACATTTTCTCACTTTATCTTACTGATTGGTTACATGTTCAGCATTAACATGCAAAGAGAAAGCAATTGGAATCAAGTCAGTATTCAGACCTTACTTCTTTGCTATATATTATCTTCACACATGAAAATTGGTTCTCAATTCCTTGGCCTTCCCCTGCATTATTAGGAGAGGCTATAGTTGCATAATATATATATAGATAGATAGATAATATATATATAAAACTATATCCTCTTTGTCATATTTGTTTTGGGAAGATAAATTATTTGTTTGTGTATTCACGTATGCACACAAACTGTTGATATACACTCTTAAATCTCTCATCATCTTATAATTCAGTTTTCCTGAGAACAGATATTTCTTTTTTCTGTGGTGTTGGAGAGAACAGTTTGTGAAGAAAAGCTGTTCTTTCAAGCTTGACTATCTTTCTTGTTAATCTTAATTTA